GAGATCAGTAATGGAAAAACCCTGCACACCGCTCTAATGGGAAGGACTGATGTGATTGTCACAGCAGGAGCATCGTTAAGAAAGAAAACGTGCTCCACCCTTGATCTGCAGCTTGGGATCTGCCTGCCTCCTGCCCGTACCTGTGCTGCACCCGTGGCCGTGCGGGGGACGGCTGGTTTTCTCTGCGCTGAGCTTTGCAGCCTGGGCTGTCACCAGCCCCTCCGCCCTGGGAGGCCGTCCTGACGCCCTTCGGAGTTACCCTCAGGCTGGACTAATCCCAGTGATTTTGTACCAACAGAGGCTTGTTTTCCCTCGGTGGCCATCCAGCCCTTCCCAGCCCATTTATGCACATCGGGGACCACGTCTCCCAGCACAGGTCACCACGGGACCCCACGCACAACTTCCTTACCTCACCGCAAAGCCTATCCACTTATTTCTGCTGCTCGTGTTTTACCGTTTAACCAAGAACTCATTACCTCTTACCCACGACACCTTGGTTTCTTCTTTCCAAGCCTTTAGAGGAGGATGTTGCAAAAAGCTTTGGAAAAAACCTAACTACTTATCAACTAGATCACCAGCATCCAGAGTCACCGACTTCTAAGAGCTCAGATCCGGCAGCAGGACTGCGCTCCAATTTGACAAGAGCATATCATGTCTATGCAAATATTTATTCAAAGCAGATCTTCAAACATCCTTGATGCAAAAGTCATGACAGTTTGGAAGCCAAAGCCTGCACAGCAGCCCTCGTAACATTTGGCAGCTTAAATGAAAAAAAAGGGGAAAAAAGAACAATTTTGACTTTATCCTCAACGCGCTATGGCGTGGTCTTTAATTATACCCTGTTATAAGGTGGTGCTTCTTATCCTGGAGCCCTGTCTCCTTCAGAGAACTGTTACATGGAATATTTAATAGTGTCTTTAAAAAAAACCCCAAAATATCATGAATCATAAATACTACGTGATCCCAACCGGAGCTATTTGCATTGGAAATGAACAGACATTTCGGATGAACTTCAGAACTTACCCGGGGATATAGTAGGGATTGGGAGGGAAGAGGCTATTCTCCTTCGGGGCTGCCATGGCAATGCGGCAGCTCTCGGTGGCGGGCGTGGGAGGAAAGAGATGCAGCGCGATGCGGTCGCCCGGGAAACCTCTGTGATGCTGCCGGGAGCGATGTCGGTACCCAACAGCGCTTCCAGCTGCAGCACACAGCTTGTCAGGTTTTTCTGGACGCATCTTTTTTTCCCCCACCTGGAAATTTTGGATGAGCACAGGGATTTTATAGCATTTGTCAGGTTTCCTGAAGGCTCATAGCCCTTGGGACAGTAGCACCAGATGTTCCCTGTAAGCAGCCCCAGCACAAATACCTGTTCACAGCGCGGTTCACGTCCAACACGCACAACTCGGGAGAGCCTGGCTGTGCGTGCCCCAGTCCCTGGTACAGCACGTGCATGGCCAGGCCAGCGCTGTCTGCACACACACGGCCACGTGCACGTGCTGCTCTCGATGAAACCCCAAGGCAGAGGTTTGGGGATTCACCACGCTGCAGTGGAAGGCTCAGCCTTCCTCTCCCTGTTCCTTGTTGCCCTCTCGGTCTGGCTATTTCAGGATGCAATCCTTTGCTGCCTTGCTTCACACGGGATAAAGGTTGTTCCCATTCCCAACATCGTATGCTCACGTTGTCTTGTGTGTGGTGGGTTTCACCCCCTCCAGCTGAAGGCAGGCCCAGGACATGGGTCTCCTGTTTACTGAACAGCCACTGTGGCCAGTATGTCCTCGAGTCAAAGACCACTACGCCTGTTAGTGCCAGCATCGTTTCCACCAACTACAATACCAGCAGCAAGGCTGCTTCACTGCCAAAGTCCCTCTATGGCCTGTGAAGGGCTCAGCCACGTGGCTGGCAGAATCATTTTAAGGTTTCAAAGCTACTAACCAGAAATCACAGAGTATTCGAGGGTTGTTCTCATCTGTTTCGGTGCCTATACTCCACCCAAAATTGTATCTGACAAGATAAAAATGCTGCTTTGACTCTTGCCCTTGGAACCTAAACACTTTAGGAGATCTGGAATTTCCAGCCTTTATAAATATATTTGAGTTTGCCCAAATACCTGAGCTCTAACCAGGGGCAGACCTCTCCAGCAACCCCAGGCCTGCAGGGCAGATGGGTCTGAGAGGTGCATGATGGATCTTCAGAGGTGCACAGTGGAAGACCAAGAGGTAACAGGCACAAGATGCAACAAGGGGAAGGCCCACTGGACACAAGGAAAAAATTCTCCCCAACGGGAGAGGCACAGCCCTGGCACATGGTGGCATCTCTGTTCTTGGAGGTCTTCAAAGCTCAGCTGGGGAACACCCAGAGCACCTCAACACAGCTTGGAAGTTAGCTCAGCTTTTAGTGGACAATTGGATTAGAGACCTACAAATGTCCCTCCCAGCCTAGATCTTCCTCTGAATTTAATATGAGCAAGAAAAAAAATTGCTTACTGAAATACAGCACCGGATTCATCCTCCTCGGCTCCTGAGGAGGCTCAGGCCAGCATCTTCCCAGCATTTTCAGAAACTCCCTTCAAAGCTCACTCCTTTAAATGGCCAGTGGCTGCTCCTTCCAAACCTGGGGGTCACAGACTTACCAAAGAGCTACTGAATTATCAGACCAAAATATTAGTCCTCAGTGCAGACACCTGGGTAAAAAAGTAGAAATTCACTTTTGTCAAGGTTATCATTAGAATTTATTGATATGAGAGAAACTTCGTATGTCAACATGTCAACGGAGGAACAGCACGTCCTGACGTAACAGAAGTACAAAGCCCATCCGAGTGACGTTACAGCGCTCTGGTACAGGAGATCACGCACATGGCTGTGTATTACTTGGGTACATTTTCCGGGGCAGGATAGAAATACTCCAGAAATACAATCGACACATGGTTTGCCGGCCACCAGTGCCCGACAGGCTGCAGCAGGGACCACGCTGGCTTTGACTCCCATCGCCCAGCCCCAGGCAGACAGTGCACACGTGTAACGGCAGCTCACCCTGGGCCCCCCTAGTCAAAGGAGAAAAAAAAAAAATACCTATTTGGGGGTGAGATTCACCTGAGTCCACATAGCCCTTGCAGGGAGATGAGATGACCTGGACCCTCCGGTTCCTTATCAGAGGGGCTCAGAGGACCAGCTCGGATGGAGATCCCTACGCGCAGGCAGGGGAACCCCACGCCAGGTCTGCAGGAGGACACCCTGGGCACGGTCCTGTGCAGTGAGCTGCAACTGGGAAACTTCACAACGGAGTTTGCTCTGCCTGGGGAGCAGACACGGCCATGCCACGCTCCATCCTGGCGTCTGCCAATTCAGAAGCAGGTTTTTTCTTTCAACCTCGTAATTATCCTCATATTATAACTGTTTTGACATTCCCTCTCTCAGCAGTACCCTCGTACAGAGCTCGTAGCACAGCCAGCCATTCACACTATGCTTGTGGCTAAGACAAAAATTATCTTTATAATCTTTACGGGAAATATATGCTATGCTGGATGCTGTTTTAAAAAAGCCAAGTGCTGAGCTTTCATCTTCTCCCAGCTTATGAAATATTTGCTTTGGTCCTAAGTATCTTGCTAAATGATTAGAGAGGGAATAGCAGAGTATTCCCCAGGCACCTGGTAAATCCACAATGGATTTATTGTAGAAACAAGCTAAATTCTCTAGCTCACTCCAAATGGATTTCAGAGCCCTCTAAAACCCTCCAGAGAATGAGCCGTTTGTGACACGACAAACAAAAAACAACCCCAAGTTCAATGAGTAAGTTGTCTTACGTTGTGCAGGGAGCATCCAAAATAAAATGCAAACCCAAACTAAGGGGATATGTCTGTCCCATCTCCCGATGCCAGATGTGATCACGGCAATAAAGGAGCCTGGGCCAAAGTGCATCTGCCTGGCCAATAGCACTAACCCTGCTGCAGACCTGAAGAGGAACCGCTGATGCTAGAAATACTTATCTGAGTGCGTGTGCCGGGGGACAACCCGTACTCTGCTCCTTTTCCTCTCGCATGAGCTATGACAAGTGACATAGCGGGTTCTGCTCTCAGCCATTCGGTTTCACCAAATCTAAGTTCCCTCTGCACATGTAACAGCATTGACTTAGAGATCTCATATTAATGGGTACTTATACAGGATTAATTGCACATCAGTCCATTGTGGCTACAAGTTCATTAGGCTAATAAATCTACATAGTGACAGTAGTACAGTATCAGCTACTTTTCAATACAAACTCCCTACCCTAGCCTTAATTTGTAGGTCAAAAGAAGATCTTCTACTGTAGTGACCTTCCTATGACCTTTAACATTCATTTTCAAAATTTTTTTTCTAGAAAAAAATCCAGTGTGGGGAAAATGCACATATATAACAAAAGCAGTGCTTAACAACCACAGGAAAAAAGAACATGATCTTGGACTCTTGTATCAGCATCCTCCATAGACCCTGGTGGCATTACTTCCAAAGGGTTGCTAAATCCAGCTCCGTCAGTTCTTAAGTCTGTTAAACCATTCCCTAGCTCTAGACATTTCTAGTCTCTCACTATACATATTGTCTCTAGCAAGAGCATACCGAAACACTTGCTAATGTGCACAAGACTTCCATTTGATTTAATGGAATAGTTTTAGAAGATTGAAGTCTTTACTTCTAGAAATCTGTTCTTGAGTGGTAGAGCTCTCACCGACTGGTAGCTTTCTATTCCACCCAGGAGAGAGCTCCAAGTCCCTCAAAGTTTTACTCATTCTCTTTGCCCAAAGGTGTACGGGTATCTAATAAAACCCCTCTCACAGTATTCCCAGGAAATGATTCAGAAGAGGAGATGATTTTTCAACCAAATGAGATCCTCTGGTCCTGTGTGTCAGACCATGGCCAATAGAATGAGCAGCTGCCATGGACATCTCAACTTAAATACAGAACAGTCAAGGGAGGAGAGCAAGGTGGCCTGACCATCTTCCCATGAGGTACAGGCAAAGAGACACCAAAGTCACTCTGTTCTCAACAGTTTGTCTCTTTTTCTGGAGTCAAATGTTTGATTCCATTTGTTCTAGCAGGAAGTGGTGAATCATATCAAAAGTGGGACGATCTTTTATATCCCTGCTCCAACATTTCAGCATCAGGTCAAACACAGGGTTAGGACACAGAGGAGTCTGGGAGAGATAGATCTGAAAGGAAGAAAAATACAGCTATTTCAGTGGGCTTTTCATAGAAGAATTGAACCTCTACTAAAAACCAAAAGGACAGTTTCATTCTAGGTTTACAAGACACGGTCATCATGCAGTGTTTGAAATCCATTAAGTGTGAATCTGGTAGTGAAGTCTGGATGGACCTTTGACGCCATCTCAAATGGCACCGCGGACACTTTGCCAACTTGTTTGATGAGCTGGTCACAAAACAGTCCTTTGTCCCCCAGCACACATGAATGCTTCAGAGAGATTCATCTTCCAAGTGACAGCAAAACACAAACCAAAACCAAATTTACCACAATAAAATCCAAATGCTTTCACTCACCGTAGACAACCCATGAGGCTTTCTAAGCATCGTGACAGCTTGTTAGCAGAGACAGAAAAAACACCTTTTAGAGCTTATCTAAAGCACAGCTTGGCAGAATATTTTTTTTCCCCTCTCATTTCAATACACATCTTTTAGGCTCTTCACTAAATCATTAGTATTCGGCAGACAGCGAATAAAACCTTCCATTATTTTATTCCCCTTAATCCTTTAACTTGTTTGGTGCTAAAGGTGAATTTTGGGAGAACAGCAAACAACTGGCACTCCACTTTTTGGGGTACAGTGATCCTCAGTACTGAGGTGCCGGATTGTCCTGCATCATCACTGGTAGCTATTGAAGGTAGCAGCAGTGGAGTGCGCAGTCCTGCCTGGGAGTTAGTAAGAGAGGACAATGACACAGAAAAGCCCTTCAGCAACTAGAGACGGCCAAAGGCTTCTCAGCTTACGTGGAGATATTACAGGGAGTATCTAACCCCTGGGCACTAACAACTCCTCCTTCCCCACCTCAGTAAGTGCTTCCTCGTCTTTCAGAAAAAACGCTAGTGGGAGAGAGATCTGATAAAGGAACAGAGCAAAAGGATTCTGTAGGAGAGCCCAGAAAAGCTAAGGAGGACAGTACATCAAGGGCAGATCGAAACAGAAGTGGCTTATAAGGAAGAAGCACTGGACAGGGCCAAGAGGTTCTTCCAGTGGGACTCCAAGGGAGGAAAGCCGGTGCAATGAGTCTGGAGAGGAAGGGGAAGAGAGGCAGGATACGCTTGAAAAGATGAGTAATGGTAGCAGAGACTTCTGCAGATGAATGTAAGGCCAGCAAAAAGGCCCTGGGGAGATCCACTTGGATGTGGCCAGGTCAAATGAAGGAAGGAGAGGCCATATTTGCTTTCTTACCTGCCTGCCCTGGCTCCGGAAGAACTCTCCTGTGTTCTCGATGACTTGCTCATCTGAGAGGAGACTGTACGGTTGCTCCTTACACAGTATGAACATCTCCCAGAGGGTGACCCCAAATGCCCAGACATCACTGGCTGTAGTGAACTTGCCCTGTGAATAGAAAGGATGTTGTAAGCCCAGGTTGCTCACAGCACACATTCAGCAAAAAACATTTCAGTCTACACTCCCTGCAGCTAAACATGAGGATGCAGAATTCATACCCGGGAAAATGCTCTTAAAGAGACAGCAGAGCAGGTGACCTGCTCTCGGCAATGCACAAAGGGACCGAGGTATGACACTGCTGCTTTGTGGGGCAGGAGCAGCGTGTCTATGGGACCCCCAGGACAGCTCTAAGAAGAGGCAGTTTTCACTGGGGCAAACCTCTTGAAACAGGGAGCAAGTCTCAGAGAAAGCCAGAGACTACTGTCCCTCCTGAGAAATCTGTATTTGTCTGCAGCAGTAGGAAAATGGACTGTGGCAGGGGGTGGATAGCTGCTGCCTACCTCCACCCAAAACACAGCAATGCAGCACAGAAAAGCCTTTGAACAGGAAGCAAAGCCCCCGGGGTGAAAACAGAGCCGAAGGAGACTCCAGACTCTTAGAGAAAGGCCAAGATAATTTTGATCTTTGCACATGTAAGAAGCCAGTTACAGTCTGCTCGCTGTCCCTGTTTTCTGTCTTTGAAAAATGTGCCCAAACTGGCCGTGTTTGGAACAATGTGTTTCTGAAGAAGTAAAAAGAAGCTAAAGATTGCTCAGAAAATAACAGACAACAACAGTCGGGGGCTGGAGGGCCTGTTTGGGCACAAAACATCCAAGACCTGGATTGCTCAGGCTTATCTGGCAACCTAGCAGTCTGTCAACGTTTGGAAGATGTTCACACAAGGAAGATGGGAGTGACTTATGGTTTAGATGCAGCTGTAACCATGAAAACAGGGTGAATTTAGAAAAGCTTAGGCCTATCAGCCTTTATAGCAGAGGTAATTACAATTTTTCTGGGTACTCGGAGGGGGTCTTGTAAGAAAGTATAACCAGGTGATTTCACCGACTAGTCTGAGAAAGAAATATGGGGCTGAATATTAAGGAACTGCCTCCAGACTGGATGTGTTTGTGCTGCCGAACAGTCTCCTAAGGGGAGACAGAGGACCCTTAAACACGAAACAAAACCCCGACCTCAAAACCAGACTTCGCACTTGAAACTCATGAAGTTCTGTCTCTGTCCCTCTCGGCTTCACAGCTGGGGAAATAAGCACAGAAAGGCAATTTCC